CACAACCTTCCCTCTTTATTTGATAGAAAACTTCATATACAGAGAAACAGCAACTAAGGATAGATATGTAAGCTTGCCCTTATGACCCTCTTGCAGTTCTCTTTCTGGGCTGCCCTGTTGATCACCTGGTATGAAGTGTTGTATGTGTGATCCAGATGGCCCCTTTGCCTCCAAATTCTTCCTCAGGTGAACTGTTATTTTCCACGAAAATTGGTGGAATTCTCCCATTTTCCCCTCTCACCTACCCCAATCTTAAGTTAGGTGTTTAATTGGGGTTATATTTTAGCCTGAATATTGACATTTTAAAATAATAAATACACATTTTTATTTTTATGAATCTTCTTTTAGTCTTTACAATTCAACATCTGAAAAGGAGCAGTGTTTAGAAGATTGTAAAGGATCTGCAAAAGATTCAAATGGACCACATTGCCATGACTGTCTGCTAACCTGCTAAAGAAAGCAAACTTTTAGGTTGCACACAGTGCACTTGGTCTGATGCTCAGTGCAGTCGTTTTCTAATGCTAGTGAGTGTTGACCAAGATTGATGGTGCTGAATGACAGTATAAAATATTAAAATGCTTTTTTTGTTTTTAAAATTAAAAAAGTAGCAACTTGATACATTCACTCTATAATTCTCATTCCTACTACTACCCTAACTCTAACAACCCTCTGCTAAATCATGTCCCTGAGCACCACATCCAAACAGTTTTTAAACACATTTAGGGATGGTGACTCAACCACCTCCCTGGGGAGCCTATTCCAGTGCTTAACAACCCTTTCAGTAAAGAAGTTTTTCCTGAGAATGATCAGACATGGTTTAGATGGATAGATTGCTTCCAAAATTCAGTGTAATAGCTCATTGAATGCATACTTTTGTATGCTGTTGACCATCTTTTTTAGGCCTCTATCTCCTTTTGTTAGTGTCTCCAGGCTTTTATTATAGTTTTCAGGTTAGGATTATTTCTCTGTTACGTTTGTAAATTACAGTAGCCTTCTCTCGTTTGATATAAATGTGTTCATAACCTGTAAATTGTGATCTACCTTAGTTGAGGTCATTGTTTCAAATCTTTTTGTTGATTGTAGGTTTTTTTGTTTGTTTGTTTGTTTGTTTAAATTGATTTTCTACCTGATTTTGTAATTATTTGCAAACTACAGTTTGGAAATAACAGCATGTTGGACTCACTTGATCTATTATGTCTTCAAGTCTTTCTTAAATGTGTTGCTTTAGCCACAGAAAACTAACAATAAGAGTTTGGTTTTGCTTCTTATTTGTTTTACTTGCTGAGGTATCTGAGTTCGGAAAATCTGAGTTTTCAACTCGTTCAAAGTATTGCCTCATGGCACCTTTGGTTGCAAACATCTCATAGAAAACTGTCTGAAGTTGAACTGGAATGGAAGAGCCTGGTCTTTACATTTAACTTTTTATGCCATATATGAAGGCCAGTGGACATTATGATCCCAAGCTAGAGATGTACACACTTCAGAGGAAAAAAAAAAGATACCAATTCTATCATGGCATCTTTTCAAATCAAAATCCCATATGGTTTTCCATCATGGAATTGTTTTTCATAATCCATGTATTAGGGTTAAACTTATTATGTTAAAAGCTTTGTTTTTATTCATACAATATCTGGAAGTAGAATGTCTAGACTTTGAATTATATTAAATCCACTGCAGTTTATCTAAGGATTATTTATTTGGGGTTATTTGTACAGAAGTGCCCTTAATGTGTTGACCAGTTTGTTCTTGGCTAGCAGGATCATGACAGTAGGCCGTAACTCGACAATAATCAAAGCACTTATTACTACCATCTTACTTGAATGCTTTGCTATTTTGATATAAGTTATTCTTAGTTATTTTTACATTTACAACATTTCTTCTGGGCATGTTGTCTGAACAAGCTGAATTGAATAGGCTTAGTGGATTTTGATGCTGTACTATAATAGCCTGTTTAAGTGCAGGTCATATTCTCAATTGCAGTTTAGTGGCAGAGCTGTGAACAGCAGCATAGGAGGTGGACCTTCTTCACATGTTTTCCAAATGTGAACTTTCAAGATTAGTTCATGGTAGTATACTCGAATGTTGATTTTTTTTTTCTGCATGTTATCAGTATATTTAATAAGTAAAATTTAAAACAAAATAAAACCCAAACCAACTCTCGCTGGGTGAAATAACACTGCTTTTGAAAACTTACCTTCCAGGAGAAGGCCACAAAAATAATTCCAGGGATGGAACACCTCTCCTATGAGGACAAGCTGATACAGCTGGAGCTTTTCAGCCTGGAGAGGAGAAGGTCCAGAGGAGACCTGAGAGTGGCCTTTCAGTATCTAAAAGGGAGCTATAAGAAGGAATGGGACAAACTCTTTAGCAGGGGCTGTTGTGATAAGACAAGAGAAATGGTTTCAAACTAAAACAGAAGATTTGGACTGAATATAAGGAAGAAATTTTTTTACAGTAAAGATAGTCAGGCACAGGAACAGACTGCACAGAGGTATGGTGGTTGCCCTGTACCTGGAGACATTCAAGAAAACTTGACTGTTGCATGCACTGGTTTATCTCAAGAGACCCAGCTTTCATCTTGTAAAATCCTAAAACCTGATGAGATAGAACATAAGTTTTATATATATATATATATGTAAAAGATGTGTGTAGACAGAGGAAACAGTTAATAATGTAAGTACAAAGGCACATATATATATATATAGGGAGTTGAACTTACAGGCTACAAAGAGTAACTTAAATGAAGTCAAATAAGAGCAGCAGTAAATTTGTTTGGGATCATCTTTTAAGTTGTTCGTCTAACAATTATTAATGACACAAATGTGTGAGAAGTTGTTTGTGTAATTTAGAAAAATAGGGTGTCACCAAATGTCAAGTCAGAGCTCAATCTTTGTTATGTGGTAAACTCAATTTCTGGAACAGGAGAGATTTTTGAAAACTTACAGTGCATAATAGCTGCTTGAAGTTGGTCTTTTTCAGGTGTAACAAGTTGATATGAAGTCATGCTGGTGCCCTCTGCTGGCATCTGCTGAAAGCTCTTAAGGCCTTACTCAAATCAGACATGATCTCCATGGTTAGTATCTGAAGGATGCTGTTCATCTATTTATTGAGTGTCAGACAAGCTCAAAACCATCTCTTGAATGTAAAATGATTTCTGTTTAAAGCAGCTCGGGGCCAGGCAGAGTGAGAGAGGAGAGGTACAACTACTACCTGTGACTCCTCATCTACTTACAAAACACCAGAAGCTTTAACTTCTACATCCAAAAGCCCTAAAACATAAAAATGTCTGCTTAATTAAATATTTGAAAACTGGCAACTGTTGGACAGTTTGAAAGGCAGAGGCATGGATTAAAGACATCAAGGGTCGTAAGAGTCATATTTCAAGCTACTCAATGAAAACACAACTATGATTCAGCAATTATTATTTTAAAAATGCATGTATTCATGTAACTTTGCTTACTGACAGAGTACAAAGAGAAAAAAATATTTCTATTTCACAGTTACTTAACTACAAAGATTTGGTGCTATCACTGAGAGTTGTCTGAACAGTAAGGAAAGAGAAAATAACAGAATATTCCACAAAAGAGAGTTTGTATCCCCTTACTTAAATAATCATCTAATCTCAACTGTCCTCAAATCTTTGCATACCCTGTGGCTGTATGGAAATTTTAAGTACACTGTTGACTATCAATCAGCTTTACTATGTTCACAACTGGGCCTTCTGAAAAGCTGTTTCTGTAAGGTATCTCCGTTATGTAATTTCTGTGATCCTTTTAATCTTGTTCAGAGGAAAGAATACATCCTTTATTTTCTCTCTGAATAACCAAGGACGAACACCTTATGTAGGGAAAAGATTAGAGAAGGCATGAGGCTTCACTTTTCACGGGAAGTTTAATATCAGTGTTAGAAGGGACTTGAGGAACTTTAAATGCTAATCTCTCTTACTGTCATCCACTTAAATTCTTTACATTGGATAATCAATGAAAGAAGTCTGAGGATTTTTAATTGTGATTGAGTGTTAGTAAGCGTTCATCAGACATTTGAACTATGTTGATTTTCTCTATATATGTAAAAGTTCTTTCTTGAGCAGAATCCTTTGCATTGGCTTGGTAGAACAAGCTTTGCTTCACCTGTATTTTCACATAAGGGTTTGTTGTATCTTCACCATTGTGATTGTGTAGAGCAGATTCAAAGGTGTTAGTAGAACAAGTTATTGTATCTTGAGATGTTGAACTGTGTTTTTAGAATCATCATTATAGGAAAGAGCAGGTGATAGAGTGAGATTCCAGTACATAGGCTAAAGAATTCAAAATTAAAAGATCTTTGAGATATTACAATCCTTAAAATTTCTTATGTATTGTTGAGCTATCTTAAAAACTTTTAATCTTGTGATTCTGAATAGCTTTGTATCCACATTACTCTGGGCTTGGGAAAATCAGCCAGATCATTGCTAATGTACACTAATTTAATTTAGCATTAAAATAAATACTTTTAAGATAAGAGAACTGCAAGGGAGATGCAAAGAACATTCTGCTTCTGTTTTGGTTACAAATTGTGGCAGGAAAAATTGCAGAAACTTTCATGGAAAAATAGTTTATGGGATAGTTTAGACGTAGCATTAAAAAGAGTGTATTTCATATTTAAATTAGATTCTACCTCCTAGAAAGTGACCACTTGCAGAATGTGGTTTGGTTGAAAACTATACTTTTTTTTTAATATTTTATTGATATTTTTGTTTGTTTATTTGTTTCTGTTTCTCTCTGCATAATGGAATCTTGCTAAGACAAAACTAAGCAATGAAGAGTAATATTTTGAACCAGTCCTGCATCTTGCCCAGGTAGACCTTAATTAATGATTTTGCAGATGCTTATCTTTCTTTTTATTTGAATTGTGAAGACAAGGTCAGAAAAAAAATGCCTCGTTTTGTCAAATAACCATGTTGTAAGACCTTCATGTACTGACACCATACTTATGCATTCTTATTCTTTCCTTAATTTCAGGCGAGCGTCCTTACCAGTGTCCTTACTGTGACAAAGCTTTCAGCAAGAATGATGGACTGAAGATGCATATTCGCACCCACACAAGGGTAAGTGCTTTGGTGGTTATTGAGAATTATTTATAAATCACTTGAGGGGAAAAGTAAATATCTCCTGTTTACACAGAAGTAAGGCTATACTCATCAAGGTATTTCATGCTTACCCAAGTGAGAAGCAAAGACTTAAATCTTTAACTGTCAAATTCTCTTAGTAGCCTTCTGTTTTTCCTTTGTTAATTGTCTTTTGTTAAAATAATAACAGTATGGTTTTCTTCTTGTAATCTGTGGTTATTTATAAACTAATATTTGTGATTGTTTCCTAACAAAGCAATTCTAAAAAGGCTTTACCATCTTTTAGACTTCAGTATCCAGTATTTTTATTCTTGTTGTTTCCATAAAAACTGGTTACAGTAAGCTTTAGTAGAGACTGCAGTTTATTAATGGGTGACAAACATTAAGCTGGAAAGAATTGTAGAATCATTTGACTTGGAAGGGACCATTAAAGATCATCTGGTCCAACTCCCTTGCAGCAAACAGGCACATTTACAGGTAGATCAAGTTGCTCAGAAGTGAGGTGAAACTGCAGCAATACTCAGCTTTCCTTTCTTTTCTAGCAAAGATATGCAGAGCTGTCCTAAAACAGTCAGATGTGAATTCCCATAGGAAAGGGTGATCTCTGGCAAAGTCAAGGAGGTCTAACAGTCTCTCTGTTAACTGCCTCTATAAGCCTTCTGCTATAAGAAAAAAAAAAAAAAAGTAAAAAAAAATAATCTAGCTTTTACTGGTAATTGCATGGGAGATGTTGCTGCTTATGGAAATCAAGGCTACCTGGAGGCCAAACCAATCATCTTCATTATCAGTTAGGATATGAGGGGAGGGGAGTGAAAGTGACTTTTGTGGTTCCCATATGCAAACTTGCACTCAGAATAGCTTTTTGAGAACATGAAGATAATATCAAAGCCGCATGTTTTATTTTCTAGCATTTTACCCAGGTCTTGAAGGCATTAACTTGAGGATTTACATTAAGTTGTAGCTAATGGTATAACTTCCTGGTGTTTCACTGAGAACAGACTAATTCCATGTTGTTCATTACTTCTCCCTGTTTTTGACTGTTGAATCACTTTAAGAATTGCAGTGAAACCTTTTTCTTTTTTTTTTAAATTACTGTCTCTTATTATTATTATTTCTTCATAAGGAAAAATTTCATTACCACGTATGTGACTGAATGGGAGGAGCGGTAAATAAAGCCTTCCATGTCATAATAAATGCTAAATTTTTTTCCTGATTTCCATATATTTTGAGTAAAAGCAGAAAAACCAACACCCCAAAAAAACAACTCCAAACCAACAGACAAAAAATCGAACCACCTCAAAACCACCGACATCCTATGTAGAAAAATAGAGGAGAAAAAAAAAAAAAAAAAAAAAAAAAGAGTTAGAATAGGCCTTTAAAGCCTATATGCCTTTAAAGCCTATGAATAGATGCATCTCTGTTGAATATAATACTTTGCAACAGGTGGTGCTTTCTTTCTTCAGAACACATGAGTGTGAGTGAGGCTTGAGAGCTTTACAGACATTATCTTCATTGCTTTAAAATGGTAAATAGACTGTAGAGTGTTTACTTTTAACAGAACTGCTTATCCTACTGCCTTAGCAAATGAAGTGTTTCAGTGAAGGAAAGTTGTGTGGTTCCTTCTTGATAATTCTATATTTTTCTGATTTTTGTATATGTATCAAAGTATTTCAAAAGTTATTTCAAATTGTGCTGAATGGAGCGCTGAATAGAAATGCTCTTCAGCTGAGTGTGCTTGTACTTTTGTAGGATGTTTCTTGCCCTTAGCTATACTTTGAAAAGTAATTGTACACCTTAGTAGAGAATTGTTGGTTTTTAGTTACTTGCTACCATCTCTTTTACATAATTTATTGTTTACATATATTTCCATATGTCATCACATTTTGCCACTCTTACATGTAAGCAGAAAAAAATAAAATCTTAGAAATTTACCATCTGATTCAAAATGCTTCAAATAGAACTGAAAGGCAAACTGAGAACTTACATTGATGTGAGAATAAGAGGAAAAAGAAAATAATTGAAACTACTTATGAGCGATGGAAGAGAAATTCAACCAGTGCTTATTATTTAGGTAATAGGAAAGGGAAGAGTTAGAAAACAACTTTTACAGACTCGAGATTTTTTTCTTAATAAGTGTAGACTTTATAATCAGAGAAACTGAAATTTTATTACACTAAGAGGGTAATAAAATCTGATTTTAAATGTATCAAACAATGTGCTGTTACAGTATCCTTACAGAAGGAAAGAATGAGATATTATGTACAGCTCAGTTCATGCCAAATGTGATTTGAGTGTTTCCATATACTTAGACTGTAGTGATTGTCCATATACAGTTTATATTTCAGGTTTTTTCTTTTTTTTTTTCCTATGTGTAAGTGTGCTAAGCAGATGACCAGAAATCTTTACCATTTCATTTGATAATTAAAAATATGCAGGCAAAACCACAAAAGGAAATCTAAACAATCATGTTATGCTTCTTTTTCTGTCATGTTGTTTATATGTTACTCCTTTTACGAAGCTTCACAGAGAAGCTAATTTACATAGAAAAGGCATGTTATATTAATTTTTCCCCAAATTCCATTTTTTTGAATCAGATATACATTGACTGCTATAGAAGAGGTGCTAATTCTCCAGCATTCCTGTTCATTTTTTCAGATTATCTCTTCACTCTAGTTTTCTGGGTGTGATGAAGACTTAAAAAGATTAAGATGGTTTCCTTTACAAGGCTGGTATCTTTACAAATTTGTATGTTAATGATAAGCTGGATTGCTAGTTTTGAGCATCTTAGATCTTTAACCAAACATAGACTGAAAATTCTGAGCTACTCATGTCAGTTGTTTCTGAAGCCTCTCTTTAGGTGCTTGCAGTGTTTGTGGTGGAGTTCTTCATTCTGGAACTCAGAGACTGCATCTATGGTAGCAAGTAGCAGTGCAGTAGCAGTTACATAAAGTGAAACAATTGCGCCTGAAGACCTGCTGTCACATTGTACGTGTTTCGAGGATTTTAGTGAGGATTTTGTGTAGTCTTGTCATTCGCTGCTGCAACACCCCCTGCTATGCATCTTCAGCTATAGCTAGCAACATGGAATAAGCATAATTTTAGCACCCTTCCTCAAGAGCTTTTCCTGCAGATATCTTGGGAAAAAAAAAAAAAAGTTTTGTCTTTTGGCCAGAAAAATTATGAAGTAACTTACATGTAATAATATGACATTTAACGATTCAAATTTAGGTATGTTTTACTAGTGGGATAAAATGCCAAACCTGATCTTGTGGATCAGGGAAGACTGCTGGAAAAATCATTTTAGAAAGTTAAAGTCTGGCAGCTGCTAAACTTGGTACAACCTGGGTGGCCACAGGTGTCAGCTCAAACTCTAGAGTAAGCAGGGAGGGTAAGCCAAAATTCCTACTGACGATATAAGGAGAAGAAAATACCATATAATATTAAAATTTCACTGGAGTGTCAATTTGCTTCTTTAAAAGCAGATGTGCCTGATTTGTTTGGTTTTCTTAAGAAGAAGTATAACAGCCTAAGAAAACATAAATGAGAAACTCAGTGAATTTCTTAATGAAGTATATTTATAAACTACAAGATGTATTGAGGAAATATGCATCCACTCTTTGCTGTGCAGTAAAGTTTATCTTTTCCCTAAGGCTCTGTTCAGCACTAGGCACAATATTATGTAGTATAAAGTTAAACAGGGAGAAAATACTGCAATGTAATTGTTAATGTTTGGAAATTTAGTGGTTGATAGGTGCCCACAACATTTGACACGACAGTAATTATTGCTCTGTCCAATGGATATTTTCAGTACTTTTGAAAATGTAGATTTATTACATTGTTTCAGTTAAATACATGGCAGTGATGGAAAACAGGTAGCATAGAAGTCATTCCCAAATGCTCTTTCATCATTTGGTTAGAATATTTCACATTTATGCTTCTAATGTGTAACAGATAGATCTGACTTCTGTAGTTTGCTTAAAAATCTGATTTCTGATGGTTGAAAGGCTGCTGGCTTTAATTCTTGTTGTCTGTTTCTGAGTTAGTAGTTGAAAAGTAGAGAAATTGCAGTGTATTCTTAGCTACATTTCCTTTTTTTTCTTTATGCGTAGATTCCTACTATTTTAAAAAAATGTATAAATGTTGAACTATGTTTTTAAAAGTTCAGAAATGTAAGAAATAAACAAATCAGGTGGCATTTTTCTTGTAGTTTTGCCACTAACTTTTCCACACATGAAATACATGGCCGGCTATTTCCACATACACAGACATTAAGTGGAACTGGACTGTAGATTGCAATTGATGTGTATTTTTGGATACATAGAATCATAGTATATCCCAAGCTGAAAGTAACCCACAAGGGATGATCATCAAATCCAACTTCTGGCTCAGTAATTCCATATATTGCTATGATTTTAAAGTCAACTCTTGAATTCCTAAATTCCGCAATTATATTTTCAATGATGGCTGAGAGAATTAGTCTCACTGAAGCTTGAATGAATATATTTGTATGGGTTGCAATCATATGAGTGGGTTCAATGTAAATATATGCTTAGAAGTTAATCACTCACTGGATTGTCTTCTACCCTTCTTAAAAATGGGACTTCACCTGACTGCCATGACTTTTCGAATATCATCGAGAGTGACTTGGTGATTGTGTCAGCCAGTTCCCTCAGGACTCTGGAGTGCATCTCAAGACCCATAGACTTACAGATGTTCAGGTTTCCCAGTTGGTTGTGAACCTGATATTTGTGTACAGCAGGAGGGACACTGCTCCTTCCCCCCCTCCCCCTCCAAATTGCCATTGTCCTCTCCACCCACAAAAAAAAAAAAAAAAAAAAAAAAAAGCTTTGGGTACTAAATTTAGTCTTCTATGAACAAAACTATCAATGAAATAATATAGAAGGTGTTGATTGAATTTCTCTTTTTTTTTCATTATTATATTTTCTCTATATTTCCCCATTGGTGTAACATGAGTGAGT